TGATTTCACAGCTTCCTTCACTATCTTTCTGTATACCTCCTTCTTACTGCAGTCTGACCAGATGCATTAGAGGTCCTGAAACCCCATTTGTTTGTTTCCATCTTTGCTCTGTGGGGTTTTTTTGTTGTTTTGTTTGTTTGTTTGTTTGTTTGTTTTCTCTCTACATTTTATTACTTTTGCCCCAAGCCTCTCATTCTGTAAATCCTTCTTTTCTAGTTAGGAAAAAATTCTAGTCTCTGACCCTTGTTCCAGTATTTCAAGACCTGTCCCATGTTTTACACCTAATTTCTTTCTCCCGTGGCCTATCTATCATTATACTAAATCACTTTCAGCCCTAACAGCAGCTTCCAAAAGGATTCCTGCTTTCATTCAGTTCTGCTCTCCTGCCTCCCATGTTCTTCGATTTGTCATTTCATACCATTTTGTGTCTCTTCTGACATATGCTTATTTCCATTTCTTCACATATGCCTGACTTTCAGGTGCTAGAAAGATACATGATGGTAAAAATATCAGTAAAGAAAGCACATCATTGTTTCTATTGTCAGATTAGCTGGTACTGAAACACTGAGACACTGTCCAAATGTCACAGAGTATAATCATAAATTTTCCTCTCCACTCAACAGCCTCAAAGAATTAACATTAGGTATGCCAGCTCAGTATCCTATCTCTTCACCTATTACCTGTTTCTAAGCAGATATGAAGTGCATTCTGGATCCGGGATTTTGCAGAAATATTGTGAAGGCTCAGCCAGCCCCTAAATTACAAACCATTGCTATATACCATGTGAGTACCAATAGCCAGGGGAAACCAAAGCATACCAAGAGGGGTTGATCCTAAAGAGCTTGAGAAGTTAGGTGGTGTCTCCTCAATATTTCCTGTGAAAGGAAAAGGCTCGGGTACAGTTCATATCCCATGCAGGGTTTGTGCCTCTATGACCACTGGACCCTGCCTTAGGAATAAGGAATGGTTGTCTCCATCTGACAAAGGGGGACAATAGCATTTTACAAATGAGCTTGTTAACTTAATGACAAAGCCTTTAAACATGATTTTTCAAGAAGATCAAACTCAGAGAGAAGTGACATAATAAGGAGTAAGGAGTTTGGGTGACAGCGCAACAAACCCCTAAAAAACATCACTACTGGGAACTTATCCAAAATGCCTGGACTTGAACTTCTCCAGCATGAAGAAAAAAACACAAAAACCAAAACAGAGTAATTAGAAGTTGTGAACAGTTGCAGAGTAACAGAAGCATGGTGGGATAGCTCTCATGGCTGGAGCATTGCAATGGGTGGATATAGGTCCTTTAGGAAGCACAGTTGGGAACAGCAGGAAGAGAAATTGTGCTCTGTGCACAGAGTGTGGAACGTGTGGAGCTTTGCCATGAAATGGTCCACAAGCCAGCTGAGAGTTTACAGATCAGGATCAAAGGGAGGCTAATAATGAAGCTTTTGTGATGGGTTTCTGCTAGAAGAACCCCTGATCAAGGGGCAAAATAAGATGCAGCCTTCTTTAGCTGACTGAAATCACCCTTGCAATCAGGAGAAAGATTAAAAATATTGATCTGGCATGGAATTAGGAATCTAAAACTCTGTTGCAATTGAAACTGGCAGGGAATGTGAATGGCAAATATAAAGACCTCTATAAGTATACTGATGGGAAAACCAGAGGGGTCTTGTGATAAGGGTATGGAAGGGTTTCCAGTGTTCAAAGCTTTGTTTGCCAAGGCCTTTACTGATAAGGTGTACCCTTTGGCTTTTCAGATCTCTGTCCCTAGTGGCAGAGGAGCCTGGAATTCTGAGGTACTGCCTACGGTAGGTAAAGATTAGTTAAGGGTCAATTGAGCAAATAAATTTTTTTTACAACAATTCATGAGACCACATGAGATGCAATTGATATTGATGAGGAAGCTTGGCCAAAATCACCTTGGTCAAAATCTCCAGATCACTCACCTTTGTGATTAGAGAATGGAAAGTGTCACATCATTGCTCAAAAACAGCAAGAAAGAGGATTTGGGATGTTAGGGGCTGGTCAGCCTCACTGCAGTCTCCTGGAAGATTATGGCAAAAATCTGCATATGTAAGTAATTCGTAGGCACGTGAATGATAAGAAGATAATTGGGAAAAAAAACAATGGATTTACAAAGTTAAAATCATGCCTCACCAGACTGATTACCCTCTCTGATAAATGAATTTGTGATCAGAGCCTGTAATTAACTTTGACTTTATCATGACTTTTGACATGGTTTCCAATTGTATCCTTGTAGCCAAGCTAAAGAGATATGGACTTGATGTGTAGATTAAAAGATGCTTGGAAAAACTGATTGGACTACAGGATGCTTGGAAAACCAGTTGGATCAGGAGAATCCTGATGGGTAATCCTTTAATGGGTTGCACTTTGAAATCCATTTGCCAGATGGTTACTAGAGCCTTTCCTCAAAGGCTGCCACCATTTAATATCTTCACTAGCTACATGGATGGCAGGGCAAAACACACCCTCAGGTCTGTGGCTGAAACCAAATTTAGAGGAAGAAAGCAATATGCTAAGCAACAGCGCTACTGTTCTGTGAGACTTTAACAGACTGAGCTCACAGAAATTCATAAGGTTAAACAAATACAAAGTCTTAAACCTGGTATGAAGTATCCACATGCAGCAGTGTTGTCTGCAACTCACTGGTTAGAAACAAGTTTAGCAAAAAAAAGGATTCTGGGGTAAAAGGTTGAACACCAGTCAGCAGTACAGGCTTTCAGCAATAAAGGCTTATTGCATAGTTGGATCTATCAGTAAGGGAGTAGCCAGAAGATTGGGATCCTCTGTATTTGGCATTTGTGACCATATATGGAGTCTTTGCCCAGTTTTGACTTCACAGTACAGGAAAATCAGTGACACTGGGGAGTGAATCCAGTAGAGGAACCTCAAGATAATAAGTTGCCCAAGACCTTATGGGTATTTTTTAATAGGTCATTAAGTCTATATTATTGAGTAGTTATATATAGCTGGGAACTTCTTTTCCAGTTCAGATTCATTCATGACATGTACTGTTTACAAGAAAGCATAAACTGATTGGTAATCTTTGGTCCAGCACCAAAGTACTCTTGAGATACTGAGTCTGTATTTCCCATGCCACTGAAATGTCACATGAAGTTATCTTTCACTGCACCTGGCTGCCATGGGCATGGATAAGAGCACAGCAGGGCAGCCCATATCCCACTGATATCCTGAGCCTGGCTCTTTCTAAACATTATGTAGACACTTTAAGCCTTATGTGGTGATTTGACTTCAGCTAGATGCCAGGTGCCCACTAAGCTGATCTATCACTCCCTCTTCTCAGCTGGACATGGGAGAGAATATAAGATGGAAAACAACTTGTAGGTTGAGATGAGGCAGTTTACTAAAGTAAAACTGAAAGGCTGTGTGTGCACAAGCAAAGCAAAAAGCAAACCTTTTCTCTACTTCCCACCAGCAAGCGATGTCCACCCCCTTCCTGGGACAGGGCTTCAGCACGTGTAGCGTTTACCCTGGAAAGCAAACATTTTAAATAACAAATGCCCCCCAATTCCTCTCCTTTTCTTAGCTTTTATTATCTGAACTGATGTGATATGGTATGAAATATCCCTTTGATCAGTTTGGGTAACCTGTCCTGGTTATGTCCCCTCCCAAGATCTTGTCCAAACTCAGCCTAATGATGGGGGCAGAATGTTGGAGAGACAGTGCTGATGCTATCAGCACTGCTCAGTAGTAGCCAAAACACTGGTGTGTTATGAACACCTTTCTGGTTACCAATGCAAAGCATAGCACTGTGAGGGCTGCTCTGGGGAAAATGAACTCTATCTCAGCCAATACAGTCTTATTTTCAGTAACTCTGACAATCAGTAGTATGGTAAGAAAACCTGCCACTTACAGGTTTAACTCATTAAAGTCCACTTGCAAATTAGATTTCAATTATTTATTTCAGACATAACATATGAAGCTTTAAAAAACATTAGTGGACACATAAAAAGCAAGTGACAGGCAAATGCCTTAGAGAGAATAGGGACATGGAGGCAATAAGCAAGGCTCTTTTTACTCCCAGTAAAAAATTAAATAATGCTTTATAGTTCATGTGGATTCCACTTTTTTGCTTTCAGGAGGTAAGCTACTTCATGACTAAACCTAAGGGAAAAATACCAAATGTTGATAAAATGTTTATCTCACTTTTTAAAATGTGTCCAATGGTCTGAATTGTATTAGCTGCACTCTGATCTCTGACTCTCATATCTGTGTAAAGATAATTTTTTTAAGTTTCCTCAGGAATAGCTTAGATATTTGTTACAAAGTGCATCATTTCACCCTTGAGTGGAATACACTATGGAATATCTGCATTGAGCTACTGTCCTTAATAAACGGTTTGGTACAATCACTAATTGCAAGCGCATCTTTATTCCCAACTAAATCGCATACATAATTTCACGCAATTTTTTTACCTGCATAAAAGTTAGAGCTCTGTGAAAGTGTTTTACATATAAATGTCTGTCCCTTATAGCTATGGATCACACATGGACATGCATATGTGTCCCCATATGCTTTTGAGGTTTGTATTTGTGCAAAGAATAGTCAGCAACTCTTCTTTTTGTTAGGAGGGTTTCTTCCCTTCCTGCAGATTGTTCTCTCTTTCTCACAAGGTGTTCATATTAAAGGATTCCTCAAGTTCTTGAAAATCTGGTTTATTACTTTTGACCAATGCCTAACACCTACACAAAAGGGTCTGTAATTTCTAAGCAGTCTGTAAAAGGAGAGATTTCTAATATCCCTACTAATAGGGGCGTTTTAAATGGATTTAAGAAAACAGAGAGGTATCAAGTCAGTTGGCTGCACAAATCATTCTCTTCGAGAGACCAGTCTGAATAGGATCAAAACTATTACCAGAAATCACCGATTCATATACATATTTCACACTTCATATTTATTTATTTAATTATTTATAGTTTTATTTTTCCTCAGTCAGATTGGGTTCTCCTATTTGAGAGTTCTGGCTGCACAACAGATGGATGAGATAACTTGTAAGCAGTCAACTAGAGCTTTCATCATTTTGCATGAACAAGTTTTTACAGAGTTGGAAAAGCATTATTTTAAAAAATACTCAATTCAACATCAGGGGCCTTTCAAACATGAACGAAAGGATAAAAGAGGGCAGGAGGAGAGAAATTAAAGTGTCTTAAGGAGGCAAGTGTAGTGGGAATCTCCTTTACTCTGCTGGATATTTTTAGCACAGTTGATATAGTATAAGAAAACGAGAGAACCACTGCTAAGAAGCAGAAAAATGAATGCTGTCCCTACCCAGGTGAAATAATTAGGCAAGAGTGATTTCACTTGACAGTCAGAGTTAAAGGACAATTTCATCTAGAGAGATTATAAAATCTAATGAGAACATATAGCTGTCCAGAAAATTTCAGAGAGAGAAGAAGCCTGCTGTTAGGTCTAGCTATATCCATTTAAACTCCATCCTAAAATACTCCTAGTCATACTATTATGAACAGGGGTGAGAAAATTCTGCTGCTGTTAACAATAAATAACTTGTAAGAACTTGAAAGATTCTTTTTTAAATAATTTCCTACATATTTTCACTGGCACTAAAGTCTGTAGAAGCAAAATATATTCTGTGCTAGGTTGTTCCTCCTAGTGAAAAACGTTGGAAAACCCTTTATTCTTTATCCAGTGAAGTTGCTGTATTCTTAGTTCCCATATGTGACAGTATAAAGCATCTCTATACGGAAAAGTCACACAATCAAAATTAAGTCAGCATATAAAGATTATTGTTGTTAAACAACTTAGTATAGGCACATATTTGCTACATAATATGTATAAGGGTTTTCCATCTAGTATCAATACAAGGACAAACTGAACTTCCACCTGTGACATCCCCCTGTATGTCTTTTTGAAGCAATTCCCACACAGTGCTATAGGTTTACGCATCACAAAATCCTTCAACAGAACTTGAGGTAATTAAAGTCTTTTATTGATAACTGTATGCTTCACTTTACCCTAATATTACCTTAGCTGTGGCAGCTCTCAGACACTGAAATGTATATTGCTATTTGCTATCATTTTATGTACTCTTAGATGTAAGCAAAGATAAACAGTTTCAGGTTTAGAATGACAATAAATAAAATAAAAATTAATCTGTTGTGGTAATGCTTCAGAAAAAGGACAGCCAAACTGTATACAAAAAACCAGCTCTTAATCCATTCCTAGCTAAAAATGTGTGTTTTACATGCATGTGCACATATATATGTAAATATATGCATATATATGTATATATGTGTGTGTGTACTTGTGTGTATACTTGTGTGTACATTTACACACTGAGAAATGCATTTCAAAGGGGTAGTTTCAATTAATTTAAATATATCAGCAGAAATGAGAATGTTACATAATAACTACTAATAACTAATTGATGAACTTAGGTTTTGGTTGAATATGTACAGCATTGAATATATCAATACGCTGAATAAGTCTTTAAATACAGCTGATATCAGAAAAAAAATTAAATTATTTTTTAGATTCCTATAGCAAAAATAACCCTTCATTATTACAATGGAAGTAGTATAAGTCACAAACAGTTTAAAAACTTAACTTTTGTATTTCCTGAGTTTTGAAGCATTTGTCAATACAACCTGAATTTCTGTGGATGCAGGTTTTTTTTTTTTTAATGCAGAATTCATTATAGTACTCATTAATTGCCTCTCCATGTCATGTTATGCCATTATTTATACCATCTGTGGTATGTGCTCTGCAGAGAACCAGCAAGTTAGGCAACTTTATTTTGCTGATGAATAGCAGAGAGGATTTACTAAATAGGTTAAAGTATGACCTAAGAAACGGGATATGTTAGATATACTCAGTTTGTGAAGTGTATTTTCATATTTACACTCAAATAGCATAAAATACCACTAGTGGTCTTTGGACTTTATTAATAATATCTAATAAGAAAAAAAGATCATGATTATGTTGGATAAGACCATAAACATGACTGGTTTGAAAATGGATTTAAATTATGCATTCAAAATATATTTATAGACTTTTCATTATATGATCATAATTATGATTTGTGTTTAAATACCTTAAAACCAAACAGTAGTTGTGTTTACTAAGGGTTTGTACTGATATTATCACTGATTTTTAAATATAATATTAGATCATGAACAAAACCCAAACCAAATCCAATTCAGGCACAATACTATTGACATTTTCATAAGCTCCTCCTAGTTATTATTGGAAATGGTAGACATTTTGATATAAGGTGTGGATATTGTGATACATTTTCTGTTGGGGGGAAAAACATACAACTGCAGGACTGTAGATTGCAACAGGAAATATTATGTGAGACCAATTAAAGGAGCCTCCTAACACATCCTGAGTAGGCTTATTTAAAGTATTTTATATTAATAAATTGATTGGGCAACATTCAGAGTTGATGTAAATTTAACGCTGAGGGGCACACAAGAAAAGCACATTCATAAGAGGAAATAAGTGAAACAAGCAAGATTAGCCTCTTTGCTGAAATGACAATGTATTTATTGTACTATCGAATTTTACTGATTATACAAACAGCTGATCTAAAGGCTTGTCTATCATCTGTCCAACCACCTAGTCAGTGTCCAACTACAGTTGCAAGGGATACCAATAATTCTCAGGAGTTTATAAGCTGTCAATCTGATTTAGCTAACAGCTGGTCAGGAACCATAAAGTTCTGTCAGGTGAACATTCTGACAGGTGAAGTCATGTCAAATAAAAGAAGTTGTTCCATGAAGAAAGTGGGTATTTTACAATGAATAATAATTTGCCACTATGATTAAAAATGGGCATGACTCCCCTTCAAACATGATCCTGGAACAATGGTTCAAGACAGTGGGTGGTTCCAAATCTAGAAACCATGCAATGTCTCAAAAGACATTCCTTGGCTTTTCAACAATATATTAAAATAGATGAATCAATAGTTTTTCTTTAATTATGTATACTTGTTTAATGACAAGTCATTACCCATGAAAATGATGAAGTATATTAATGACACTGACTTCTGAGTGCTCATTAACACTACAAAGTTATTCTGGATCGAAGCAGACTATTAATTATAAAAGCTATTTTTAAGCAATTCTACCTGTGACTGTCTATTTCAGAAATCAATGTGACATTACAAGGACATGAAACTGCTTTCAGCTATTTCTGAATAACTCCATCAGTAAACAAGCCATTTTAGCCTATCTTCTACTTTGACAGATTTTCCAAGAAACAAATTCCGTCAATAAAACCAAAATGTTCTTTTTAAAAGTTAAAAAAGTCACAGCCAACAAATTCAATACAACTTCTAAACAACTCTCTAGTTTCATGTCCTGTCTCTCTCCTCCTCCCACAGATCCAGCTTGCAAGATGCTGACCAGTAATGAGGTACACTGCACATCCATCACACCCACTGTCTCAGGGGCAGGTGAGAGCACACAGGCTTTGGCAAGACCGTGTTCAAACTATGGATATAAAACTCAAAAACCAAGAGGAAGGCAACAATGTATATGATGAGAAATTATCATTCCTAATACAGTTCCTGGCTTCTACCCTGCTGTAAGCAGGCTGAAGAACTTATGACTGTGCTACACAGCAGCTTATGAGAAAGCTTGAAATTTGTTGGAAGGAATATTGTGCTATTGTTCCCTCAGGAACCAGTCATTATCGTGCCGTCGGCCTACTTCACTACCATATATATTTCACACCTACTAACTCTCATGGTGTCTCTCAGTATTAAATTTACACCAACTCTGAATGTTACCCATCAATTTATTTATATAAATTACTTTAAATAAGTTTATTCTTAATAGAATGCTTAATGCGACGTTCCTTTAATTGGTCTCACATAATATTTCCTGTTGCAATCTACAGTGCTGCTGTTGTACATTTCCCCCGTAACATAAAATATGAGATTTGCACCTTATAAAAATAACAAAATGTCTACTATTTCCAACAACAAGTAGATTGCACCTTCTTGGACTCAGATACAAAATTAAAAGCGGAAAGGGAACAAATATTACAAAAAACACAGAAGAAATAAAAGGAGGGATCATGATTGCAATAAGTGTACAATTAGAATTTACTCCATATTTTCCATTTAGTTTAACTGTTTTATATAAGAGTCCTAGCTCTGTAACTTAGTATGAAAGACACAAAAGCAGCAGAGAGAGAAAAGCAGTATTTTAAAAACCTTCATTAAATTCAGAAGATTGGTTATCATACATATCAACATGTTTAGCTCTACAAAATAAGCAGTCAATATTACTGATCTTGAATACATGAAGAGAGAGATTCAGATTCTGCAGCTCTAGTAGCTTTCAAGAAACTTTCAAGACCAGGTCCAAGGAAAACCCTGTCACTGGTCTCATTTGTCTCAGGAGAAAGACAGAATTATGATGTAATTGCCTTATTCAAGGCAGACAAACTGAAATAAATGGGACAACTACATATGATTATGGCAGGTAGAATTTTAAAATAAAATTGGGGAAATGTAGTAGAAACTGAAAAATTGAGACCTTGAACCCAATCCAGTTCCTATTTTCTTCAGAGACACGATCAAATTTTAAACACAAAAAGTATCTTTACAATATCTACCATTAAGACAACTGTATTTATTGTATTTTTTAATTTTAATAGAAAAAAGTTGCTGCTGACTCAGGTTTTATTTCATGTACTTAAACATAGTCCTGTAATATTTTGCAACTAGAAACACTGCAGTCACACATAAGGGGTAACTAGAAAATGCAAGCCATTAAAAACAAAACCTGAAACCAATTCATTCAGTAATTGGCAAAGTGAAACAGCAAAGCAAACAAACAGCATCAATGGTGAAAATACACAAAAATATTAAATTGGCTAATACTTTAGTCATTTGAGGTATATAAGCAACACAGATAAGGTTTTTTTAAGAATATATGACTTTAATTGGTTTTGTCCCTTTAATGATAAATTTACAATGAAAATGACGTCTACTATAATTTTGAAATACAATGTAGATACCACCGATTTCCTGCAAATGCCTTTGCATTATATTTGTTCGTGGCAGAGGACTAAATCTGACAAAAATAAATTCTTATACACATCCACCCTTTGGGGATTAATAGCAAATTAAATATTTTAAAATAAATAAATTAAGACAAAAATTCTATAACATAAAGTTCTTCTCGATCCCCTCAAGCAATTTTCCTCAGCACACTAATACACTAACCTTTGTAAAAAATCCACAAAACCCCAACCAAACAAGCAAACAAAAAAACACCCCTCAAAGAAACAAACAAACAAAAACCCCAAAAAACCAAACCAAACCAAAAACTAAAAAATTGAAGAAACAAGATCTGTTTATTAAGAACGAGGGAAAAGGATACAACTGACGTTTGCCTGATGTTTTACCTCTTGTTAATCTGGATAATAACTTTACCAACCTTCAATATTGATGTAAGTCCACCCCCACAACTTTGATGCCATTTGTTTTGGGAAGAGCACACATAGCTAATAAATGCATGGCACCAATTCAATTTCTGGAGCATTTGTGGATCCTCTGAGGCCCCTCTCCCCAAGGCTGTCAAAGATGCTAGTGTCAACTCCTCTAATACTTGTCATGGACAGCTCAAGTGGAGATGGTTTTATTTGATTTGGAAGAGGAAGAGTTTGCTCTGACATCTCTCTGTGCTCCTACAATGTGCATTCAAGCATTAGTGGACAAATACATCAAATAAATATCAGATAAAAGCACCCAAAATATGCTTGATAATGCGAAGAAAGTGTATATTTTAGGGTATGGTCGGAGATGATATTCAAAGCCTCCATTGTTGCTTCTAGAAATGTCAGGACAATTCAGAAATGTCAGTTCCTTTACCAGTTTCCAGATTGTAATTGAAGGATCATGTAGCTCTTTTTCTCTCTCTTTCTCTCTCTCTAAATAGGTCTATAAAGATCAGCTGGAAAGTGCAGATAGAATTGTTCACTGGTTAGCTTTACTTAGAGCTACAGGGTATATATGTGCTTTCTTTTGTCTTATTGATCAATCTAGCTTACATTTTTAGCACACACAAACAAAAAACAGGAAAAATAAAAAGTCGATGAAAAACACGAATAATACAAATAAGGTTCCAATCGTGCAAATTTTGCTTCACTGGATAAAGCACTTCTTGACACAGTAATGTCCAGAATCCCCCTCCCCCAGAAAAATACAGGACTGAGACTGAAGCCATTTTTTTTTCCCTTTTTTTTTTCTTTTTTCTTTTTTTTTTTTTTTTCTTAAGGCTATACAACACAAAGAAATAAAGAATGGAAAGAACATCACACTGGGCTCCATTCTTCTGGCTCTGGAGCAAGCCTCTGACAAAGTGATTCTGTGGTCCAAGTTATTTGTCTCATGGGACAACAAGAAAAAGAGGAAAAAATGAAAGAGAGGGGAAAAAACCGAAAAAGAATAAGAAAGTCAGTGATTCCAACAATAAAATCCAAAATTGACTTTACAATCACAGGTACAAATTGCTCAGGTCGATAATTTCATTTCTCCTAAAGATCACTGTCGTCTAAAACTAATTAGAGGCGCAGGTTCCCAAGGAATTGTCAATATTCAAAGCAAATGTTGGAGTTTAGAAGGTTATCATTCTTCTACCGTGACAGTCTGACGGGGTGACTGAAAATATCGTCATGTGCTGCCAAGTTCAGGGTGTCATTATCGATTGAATCCTTGCTCCAGCTCATGGATCTGTCTCCTATTTGGCCTTCTTTTATAGTGGAAAGACTAAGAAGCCAGAAAAGGTTGAATATTTCCACCCTCCCATGAGGTTACCCCTTTCCAGTTTGAGATGCACTTTGTCTTCTCTTTCCATGAGGAGCAAGACCCCATTGCTGGCTGCTTCTCTGGTGACGTCCTGATCCCCTGCAAAAGCTGAAATCACTGGGTAGCCGTTTTGCATTAAACTTACCTAAAAAGTGCAAAGAGACAGAATCTGAGTTTTGAGAAAACTCTCAATGCCTTTTTTGCTTTGTGCAGATCACTGAACTTTTGTACAGGTTAGAATCAGTTGAATCAAGCTAAGGTAATGTGTGATTTCTGTCATGCATACAGACCCCTTTAAAAATAACATACAGTTTCATTCTTCAATTGCTGTGTTGGGAAATGTGTGGCTAGAAATAAGCATTAGGAAAAAAAAAAAGAAAAGAAAGACAGTGTCTTCTTTAGATCAGAACCCACCTGGATGGTTTGTCTGTTATAGACCTTGACCACGTGGAAACTGAAACTATATATCCCTTTTCTTGGTGCTACAAATATACTGGAAGCAAGATCAAAATGGTTGCCAATATTAACTAATACCTGGAAAGTAAACAAATAAACAAAAAAAAAAAAAGAGAGAGAGAGAGAGAAAGATAAATCAGAGAAAACAGACTCCACCTTAGAAAAGCACCACTGAAAATCTATCATGAGCTCCATGACTGATATAAAGCCTACCCAAAATGGCATTTGCAGCACAATTAAAAGCGTATGTCAGGGGAATCGAGTCAAGTTACAGAGGCATTTAAGAGGCATCAGAGTTAATAAAACAATTTAGTTACACAAAAATGATCTCCAAAGCCTGATAGATGAAGTGTAAATGTCCACACTGCACTGTCCAATAAAGTAAAGATGGCAGAAGGGGGAGGGGGAGGACTGTGAAATAGAGGTAAGGAGGGAGGGGAAAGAAGCTAGGAAAAAATCCCCAAAGTCATTAACTCATAATGCAAATGTACGCTTTTTAGCTAGCACTACTGAAAACAGAGCTACCCTCGAGTTTAATAGGGTATAGAACTAAAATTGCACTGCAGAGAGGGGCGAAGGAGGAGAGTGGATGCTTAGCACCAGCAACATCTGCCAGCTTATGTCTCTCTGTCCCTCTGGAAAACAGTGCCACTTGGCTCGCACGCTCCTCAAGGGGCTGGGTGGGCCGTCTCCTTGCCGGCAACAACCTTAATTTTTCATATACTTCAATGCTTTTTGAAACAAAAAAAGAGCAAGAATTGAGCTCTCTGGCAGATGTGCAAAGCCTCGCTCAGAAGGGGTGGCCACATCCTTCCGATCCCGCCGATCTGCCGGCCTCGGCTCATCCGCTCCTCCTTCTCCAGGCGCCTGTGGCAGGCAGCATGATTTGACTCAAAAGGTACGGGTGGCGAGGAGAGAAGAACGTGCAGGTCCGTGACAACGCCGTGCGGTGAGTGGATGAGCCCGAGTCGGCTGCTCCGCCGTGCCCGCCCCAGGGGCAGCCCGGCCACACTAAGCTTTGAGGGGTACAACCTCTGGGTTAATGAAGAAAAACACAAAGCGGGAGAAAATACATAATCTCCACGTGCCTCCCCCCAAATCCGGAGCCTTTCCTTCCAAACAGTCAAACTCTAAAGTTTCCAAAATCCCCTTATTGTGGGAGAACCGAGAAAACGCCTTCAATCCCCAGGGAACTGCACGTTTTTGTGTAAAGCGTCTAAAAAATGTTATATATGCAGCAAGCTGGGGTTTTGTTTGCTTGTTTGTTTGTTTGTTTTGTTTGTGGAGTTTTTTTTAAACTTGTGTTTTGTTTTTCCTCTACTCATCTGACTTTATGGGATCTTGTATCCGAGGAATACCATTGCAAACTCATTAGGAAGGACAGGAGGACAGACAAGTAAAAAAAAAACAAAAACAAAAAAACGTAGAACCAAACTAACAAAGCCCCAGAGAAACAGTCTGGTGTGCTTATTTTGGATGACTCTGCAATACTACTTCAGGAGTCAGAAGCGGTAGGAAAAAAGTAAATTTCATCGCAAAAACGAAGTGGATGAACGGCATGGCCTCTGTGAGGCAAGTAGTGCAACGGGACAGAGGCAGGGGCAGGGAGGAGCAGGAAGGGGCAGGACGAGGCCGGCCTGTTCTCTGCTCTGTCCGGTGTACGCTGTGCGGGATAACACCATTCCATTACAGCCCACCGGGGACTTCGTTCGCCTCGTTTGATAAACGCGGGAAACACCCTCTTCTTCCTCCTCCCTCTCTCTCCTTAAGAGATGCTGTAACATTGCCAAATGTGCTCGGAACAGGCAGATCCGGCGACTCCTCATCGGTAAATCTCCGAATTTGCCCTAAAAATGAGCATTTCCGACGGAGCACCGAAGGAAGGATGCGCACTTTCCCCCGGGTAGTTCCTGGCTGGGCGAGGCAATCCTCGGCTGCAAGGCGCCTCTGTACGCGTCCGAGGCAGAGACTTTCACGATAAACCCCTCTCCCTACTAGCAATGGGACAGGACAAGAAGCTAGAGTGTTCCCTACCGGTACCACCCTAGGAAAACCCCGCAGACACCTAAAAGAACGTCCCACACTCTTTCAGGAGAGCTGAGCCGTAAAATTGCTATAGAGCGGGTGAGTCGGAATTAAAAGACGGAAGGGGAGCCCCTCCGAGAACACGCGTGCAGTAAGGGGGAGGCAGAGGCGGGTATGGGGGTAGCAAAGGCGAAGGAGGCGGCGGCTGACCTGGTCGAAGTAGATGGTCATGGTGCGGTTGCTCATCTCGGAGGGCTCGTGGTTGGTGCTGCGAGTGGCCGAGAAGGCCACCTTGGCGCTGCCCGAGCGCACCGAGATCCCCAGCGAAGAGGTGATGGCGCCGTCGGCCGAGGGGCTGGAGTCGCAGACCACCAGGCACTTCCCCTCCAGGACGATGGGCTCCGTGTCGTTCTGCGCCCGCACCGGGCACCCGGCGGGCAGCAGCAGCAGCAGCAGCGGCAGCGCCGCCGCCAGGCAGCAGGAGCAGCCGCCCGCTGGCTCCGGCAGCGCCCCCCGCCGCCGCCGCCCCATGCCCAGCGCCGGGCCGCCGCCGCTCGGGCTCGCCGCCGCCATGCGGGCGCCCTGCACCGCCGCGCCGCCGCGGGCGGGCGGGCGCGGGCAGGCGGAGGGGGCTGCTCGCCTGCTGCCGCCGCGGCGCCCCGCGGCCAGCGCTCTGCGGGACGGCGGCTGGGCAGCGGCGGCTGGGACCGCGCCTTCCTCCCCTTCTCCTCCTCCTCCGCCTCCTCCTCCGCGCGGGGCGAAGGAGCCTCCTCAGAGGGCGGCCGACGCGCAGCAGCCTGCCAAGGGGAAAGGCGGCGGTGAGGCACCGCAGCGGGCAGGCGGGAGCCGGCACCGCGCCACCCGGCAGTGCCCCGCTGCCGCGGGCTGTTCTCCCCCGCCCCGAGATCCCCAGCCGGCACAACAGGTCTGGGAGACATCTCGCTGCCCGATGTTCCCTCTTTCTCACGTCCCCAGCAGCCGGGGGTCCCGCAGCCCCAGCCGTACTCTGAGGCGGGAGGAGTGGGCAGCGCGGCAGATTGCATCCCCAAACCCGCGGTGAAGCACCCTGCAGGTGCCTCAGGCGCCCCACAGGGGCGCCCCACAACCGACGGGGGTTCCAAAACCCGGCTAGTTCCCGGGGCCCCACTTTTTACTACATCTGCTAGCCGGGTTTACATCCGTCTCCTAATGCCCCAGCCACTACGGAAGGAAATTTTATTCTTATTATTGGTAACGCGCCCTCTCGGCCCTCGATGGAGCTGCCCCGCTATCTCTAGAGTTCGCGGGCGGCCAGGACGCCTGGAAGCCCGTGCCCCCGCCACGGCGCTGCCCCGACCGGGCTTTGGAAGCCGCCGCCGCCGCCCTTCTCCCCACCTGGCTGGAGAGCTGCGCTCGGGAAGATTTGTACTTCCCAACCTTCTGTCCCCCAGGCCAGGCTGCCACCGCTGCCGCCGACCCCGGCGGCTCCCTAAACTCTCGGGAAGGCAGCAGCCGGCTCAGGTACCCCTCAGCTCCCACCCCGGGCATGCACACATATAGCAGGAGTCAAAACCTCACCCGGAGTCTCCCTCGGAAGTTGCATCTCAGTTTTTCCCGTTCACCAGAACACCCGGCGATCTCGCTCCTGGGAGATCGCCCCTATACTTCCCCAGAGGCATCTTCTACCGCTGCCCTAACCCTGCATCTTATTTTTGCTGTCATTTAAAATGGTAATTTGCAAAAGGAACAGCCGGCGGGGAGGAGAACCGCCTTTTTACCTGGGAGGTCCATGACGGGAGAGGAGGGCTGGCTAGGTAGCTCGTCCGTGAACTTGTATTGCTCAGAGAAAATGAGCCGAGATTGCGCTGGCAGAAAGAAAAGGAAACAGGAGTCGCCTCTTTCTCTCCCGCCCATTGCCAATAATCATCCCCCTCCCGCCAGCCGCTACCACCACCACCCCACTTCCTCCCTCCTCCCCTCTTCACGCACACATACACACACACATACACACGCACACACACACGCGGCAGGGATTCAGACCCCGGTAGCGGAGCAGAGCGTGGCCACGGCACCTCCGTCGACCCCGCAGCCCAGCCCTTGCCCCGGCCAGACGCTCCGCTCCCTGGAGCCGCTCCCCGCTCCCTGGAGCCGCACCCCGGCACATCGCGAGCAGCCGCGGCGAGGCGCGGTATTCCCACTGGGACAGCCTCTCCGGGGCGCCCCGCCGCAGGGTGTCACCGGCGGCAGGGAAAAGCCGTATTCCCTCGCCTCCTTTTTCCTTTATTTCTACTTAAACCCGTCGTGCTGAGCCGCACCTATACCAATATGCCACCGACACGTTAGCGCTGCTGCGGCCGAACAACGCAGCATCGCTAACTGGGAACTATTTGGAATTCATAGACTTTAATAATTCTGATAATAATAATAATAGTAATGATCACTAAAAGGGACACTTTGGTTGAGGCACTTCATGCCGTAAGGCTCCACGCCGCACCCTGAAAAGCCTCATTCCCACGCCCGTACCCCCGCGCCTCGGTGCCCAGAGATCGGCGGCGGCTCCCCTTTATTAAAGTATTTCTTTCACGGGGCGTCTCAGCTTTCCGAACCGCGACCCGCTCCCTGACCCACTTTCGGACCGGGACCTGCTCCTCGACCCGCTCCTGGACGGGACCCCCTCGCCGATACACTCCCAGCCCAGCGCCTGCTCCCGGACTGGCACCCGCTCTCAAACCCTCTCCCGAGCCGGGATCCGCTCCCGGGCCAGACCCACCCGGCCCCCGCCGGCCCCACCCGCGGCTCCGCTCCAAGTGCGGTCGCGTGGCGCCACCTGGCGGCGCCGCGGGAAGTCGCGCCCTTGGCGGGGCGGGCTGGGCTGGACGGCGGGGCCGCCGCGGGGTGGGGGGCTGGGAGGGAGGAGGGAGCGGGAGTCGCACCCCGGCCAGGGAGGCAGGGAAAATCCCTAGCGGCATTAGGCTGAGGAAAGCGAGTGGCCACCCCCTCTCGCTGCCTGGGTGCACTGGGCTTGTGGGTCGCCCCTGCCTTATGGAGCGGTAATGATGATGTATGTCACAGTCAAGGTTATCATCAGATATTACCGCCTGCAAATCTTGTTTCATGGGCCAGCCCGTGGGGCTGCTGCTGAGAGGTTATCGGCAACGCGAGGGAAGGTGAGGCAGAGCTCTGACAATGAAGTTTTGAGAAAAAGCGTTGCATTTTGATGTATTTCTGTCTGTTGTGAACTGCATTTCTCGTTGCATATGGTGTTTTCCTAGAGATCCTAAAACTGAAGACTTCAGAATTTGAAAGGAATTTATCAGAAAGTATACATATACATATACATTTAAGTGGTAGCTCTTGACAGAGAGGAAAATCTGCGGGTGTGTACGTCAACAGTAAAATTACAATCTCTTCTGTGAATGAGCACTCCTCAGTTTCAATCTTCTGCTTTAAGTAGAAGCAAGGAACCCCTGAGGGTGTCTGCCTCATGATTTGCACCGAGAAATTAATCATGCCCTGAAATTGCAGCTAAGCAGTGTGCGGGGAATTCCTAACCTATAGCTCCTTATTTCAAATGAGAAATTTATACTAAGCCTGAAATACTCGTGTTTAATGGTCTTTTTCCTGACTTCATGGAGCAATGAGAGCAGAAAGCTGAAAAGGGTATTGCATTAAAATTATCAGAAATCAGAACAGGAACAAATTTGTGGCTGTAAGGGAGCACCTATTCTGCAAGACAGTGAAAAGGACCATAGAAATTCCTCTAGAAGATACCAACACTAAATCTTACATGGGTCTGGTACACTGGGGAGCTGCTATTATTTCTCTCTAGGTCACCCTACCCATTGATTATGACTGTGTTGTATAAACCAGGAATGAAAGTAGAGCCAAAAGATTTGTACCTTCTTTTATATGGCTTACAACGTAAGGCCCAGTGGTGAGGGAATGATGGCATGTCATCAGTTCTGTCTGCTACTTTCAGGAAAGATGAGCATAACAATTAAAGAGAACTTAAGAAAAGCCCTTAAATCCGATATGCACCCACAGGAGAAAAAGAAAAAAAAGATTAAGTCTTGCCTTTTTTAGTACAAGAAATGAATCCCACATGTACAGAAAACCTCTTCTTAGATAGCTAACTAGCAAAAGAATGGTCAGTACCAATCAGTACAGCATGAATAGAAGGGGGGGAATAACAAAAGAAGAATATTTATTTCTAATAAAATATCTAATTATATGACATTATGATGTCTATTAGAAAACAGTTCCATGCACTACTTCTAATAAATATTGTCCTTAATGGAATAAAACTTCAGCCTTCATGGAGTTATGTAGTTACTTCAGCATTTTCCCTTTTTTTTGTGAGTGGCAAGGTTGAAAATACAGATTTTGAAATTATTAATGTGGAAAATGCATCTTAGTTGTGATTTCAGAAAGTGTAGCTTCTAAAGTATCAGGAAAGATGTTTGCAGTTCTCTTTCTTGAGTTCAAAAAGTTGGTGGTAGTTGCAAAAAATAGCATGTAATCAAGCTCATGCCATTTTTCAGCATTTTGCCAAGAATACAAACATTTCTACCAGGGACATATTGAACTTGACGGTGTGGGAGTTCTACAAGAAATGAAAGAGCTCATTTCTTTAGAGCCTTTCCTAAGCTAGCCCTCACCTTGAACTCATTTAAGCCAACAGCTTCAAGGGAAAAAGCTTTTTGTCTCATCTACTAAATCAAGTTATCAACAGAAAGGTATTTTGATCAGTAGCTCCCAAGTGTTTTCCATACATTATTTACAATAATGCCAAACAAAATAGAACACTCCTTTCCAAAAGAAAATACTACATATCTGTTCCTGAAATTACTTCAGATATTTGCATGTATTATCTCAATGTTACATATACAAAAACAGAGAAAGAAGAAATATTCATTTGACGTGAAGCATTCTTTTGTTTACCCGTAATATAAGTTTGTGACCTGGTCACAGAATCACGGAATATGCTGAGTTGGAAGGGACCCATACAGATTGCTGAGTCCAGCTCTGTCCCTGCACAGAAGGATCCACAAGAGTCACACCATGTGCCTGAGAGCACTGTCCAAATGCTTCTTGAACTCTGTCACACTTGGTGCTGTGACCACTTCCCTGGGGAGCCTGTTCCAGTGCCCAACCACCCTTTGGGTGCAGAAACCTTTTCTAATATCCAGCGTAAACCTCCCCTAATACAACTTCAGGCTGTTCCCTTGGGTCCTATCACTGGTCACCAGAGAGAAGAGAGCAGTGTCTGCCCCTCCTCTTCCCCTCATGAGGAAGTTGTAACTGCAATGAGGTCTCAGTCTCCTCCAGGCCAAACAGACCAAGTGACCTCAGCCACTCCTCATAGTGCTTCCAGCCAAGGTGCTGACTCCTTATTTTACCATTTAGATCAGTGAACTGTGGTTTATTTGGCCTGCAAAAAACAATTTAAATTGTAAACAAATGGGATTTAACAAATCTGATTGTATTTTCTACAAACACACCTTTGACATATAATGTGAGGGTAGAGAAAGTGCAGTCTTCTGGATCCACCC